AGGCTTTTTGCTCCCGTAAAGATTTACAGCCTCATAAACCCTATATAGGGACACTGTGAGTTGGAATCAGCTCTGTGGCACACCACCACCACCAAAGTGACCAAGGAAAGGAATTTTCACTTTAATTTTAGTTAATTTCAATGAAATCACATGTGATTAATTCTTTCCGACAGCATAATCCTAGATGAATGAAATATTTTTTCCTATGTGTTAAGTAAGCATAGTTAACATATCTATTAATAAGGAAACTCTTTATTCTAGGTTGAAAACTTTAGCAGAAGAACTTACACAAACACAGCAGCTACTTTTAAACAAGGAGGAAGCTGTATTGGAACTAGAGAGAAGAATTGAAGAATCTTCTAAAACCTATGAAAAGAAGTCTGAGTAAGTAAAAGATGATAATTTGAAGGACAGAAGTTAAATTGATCTAATTTTTTTTCCTGGTGGTCTACTTTTTTTTTTTTTTTTTAAGTGTTTATTATGAATTGAGTGATAGATTACATGGGAGAACATCAACTTTACATTCATTCTATTGTATTTCGTTTCATTGGAATGATTATAATCCCCTCCATGTATCATCATTCAACAGCATTTGCTTCCATTCTCTCTGTTTGGTTTTGGATGTACACCGAAGCACTCAAGAATATATAGCCATTCAAACAACTAAAGGGTACACCCCACAAGCCCACCCCCTGGCTTTCATCACATAGCCCCTCTCCCTCCCTGAGTCCAGAGTCTCTAGCTGCTCCATCTCTCCATGTCATCGTCTCTGCCTCCATCTCTCGTGTCACTGCTTCTCTGGATAGGGTCTCCCACTCCATTCTTTTCCCTTGATGGTCCCAGGGTCCTCTGCTCCTGGGCTGCAAGATCAACCACTCCCCTCCTTTTGTTCCAAAACTTCTACCTTTACATTTGCAACACTCACAGTCAGTCCTGATAGCAATTGTTCACTATTGAACCATGGGAGTCTTATCCCCATCTCCTTTCAGCAGCTCCATCCAGACAGGTTAGAAACCACTCAGTGGAGATTCTACCTTTCCCTGCACCCTCTGGAACTAGGTTACCCTTGAAAGCTTGTAAGCCAGTGATTTCGTGCCTTTGTAGCCTCCCTCCCCCCCCCATTTTAATATCCAATGTCTAAGTTGCCCATCCCTGTCAACCCTGTGTAAATTGATACACTTTTATAGAAATACCTCTGTGGTATTGAATCATTTTCAGTAACTTTAAAAATTTTAAATTTATACCTTTACATAGTTGTATTACTTTGGCTCTGTGGGTTAATGCGCCAGACTGCAATACCATTTGAACTGCAAGGTTGGCGATTCAATCCATGGAGTCCTGGTGTGGCACTGTGGGCTAATTCATCAGACTGCAAAGTCATTTGTACTGCAAAGTCAGTGGTTCAAGTTCACCAGCTGCTCCTTGGAAACCCTATACAGGGTCACTATGGGTCGGAGCCGACTCAACAGCATTTAACAACAACAACAGTTACTTTCTGAGACTCTAAAACAATGATTTTCTGTTTTTATAAATACAGTGATGCATATAAAACTTACTGTGATTAAATATATATATATAAACATCAACTGTTCAGTATAATAAACCACATTATATATACATACTTTAGGCACAGTTGCAGTGCTGAATTGTTGTTGTTGTAGTTGAGGGCCATTGAGTCAGTTCTGATTGATAGCAACCCTGTACAGGGTTACCAAGGAGAGACTGCTGGGTTTGAACCACCAACCTTGCAGTTAGCAGTCCAGAACTTATCTTACAGTACCACACCAGGACTCAAAATTCAAGTTTTCAGATAGCAGCCCAGGGTCAATTTTTAAGCTGGTCTTCAAAGGAGGCATTCAGAGCTACTATGTTATTTCTTTTCTGCACAGTTTACTATTGCTTGTATGAAAGACAGCAGAAATCTTAACATGGCTTATAAGGCTCCATGAGTGTCTATTACTTCCTTCTTCAGATTCTTATGTTAGGATGTTTCCCTTATCTTGATTGTTGTTTGTTGTTGT